CCCAGCTGGACATTTGTCAAAGCTGGGAAGGCACCTAAAGAAAGCTCCAGGTGAAGGACAACTGCTGCCTAAGCAAAAACCCTTAGTGATCCCGTATGCATCTAATAATAATGTATACTTTATTGATCCCCATGGGGAAATTACTCTCTTTGCATTTGATCCATTCACTCAGTGAAGCAGTGGGCAGCGACTGAGCAGGAGCTCCGGGGAGCAGTGTGTAGGGACGGTACCTTGCTCAAGGGTACCTCAGGGTAGCCGTTCAGTGGATTCGAACCCCCGCCTTTCTGATCATGGAAAGGTAGGAAACCACTCTACCTACTGAGCTATCGCTGCCCTGCGCTTTCTCTAAACGCCACCGCGTCTCTGTGGCTTTCAAACCCTAAAACACGCTGCGTCAAAAATCGGTCCTCCCCAAGGATCGGGTCCCTGTTTTGTCTGTATTATCAAATTGAACATATTAGACCTTGATGTTCTTTCCCCATCTGATGATGCAAAGAAATCCTTTATCCTTTATTACGTTACGTTATTATTACATAATAAAGGAGTTTTTAGCACAAACTTTTCAGATGGCCTGTCACAAAGGCCTGTTTGAAGACCCACAGAATTTGTCATTACTTTGTTGGTTTCATTTTTTCAGATTTTTTAAATGAACTATCTTTCTGATTATAAATGCCATTTGGTATCACATTTGGTCATTTTATACAATACAAATCATGTACTTGTGGTGATTGTAGTATCCAAATACCACTGTCCAGAACAGGCGCAGTGAAAAGCAGTCTTTCTCAAATCCATTCACACTCCCATCGCTCTGTATGAAAACTTATGTAAGTTAATGCATTAAAGATGAAAAAATGCCTAAAAGAAATCTTCAAACCCTGCTTACCTTCTGATCTCCTCACACATGCACAGTCACTGAAGCTTGTCAGATTTTTTAGCTGCACTTTAGCTGAAGCTTATTGGCATGTTCATAGATGAAAATATAGTGATATAAAAGAGTTTCTGAATAAATGTTACTACAAGTGAGGTAGGGAAGTTTACTTAACTGTATCAATCCATCTCTCAAAAGATAAATTAAATGGCACCCTTTATTTGCTTACATTTATATCATCTACATATGATCTGTTGGTTTATTACCTCAGACTAACAAAAATGAAAAATCCACAGCAACTTATTATGAATTGTGATCATTTCAGTTCCAATATTTCTTTTCCTAAAAAACTTACATTTAATACCAGAAATGACCTGATATGATTTGATAGGAAAATGTCATCATTTGACCCCAATGAACTATATAACTGTGTGTTTTTGTTTATACATTTTGAAGCCTTGACTCCAGCTTTAAGCTTAGCTGGATATTGCACAGACATCCTGCTAAATATAATTTCATATACTGAAAAGTTAGTCCTCTTAAATAGTCTGCTATTATATTTAACCCTTTAAGACCTACCATAGAACCAAGGCCGCCAGAGCTTACTTTATATTTTTACATG